CCCTTTCCCTTTCCCTTTCCTTTTCTCCTTTCCCTTCCTTTTCTCCTTTTCCTCCCTTTTTTCCCCCCTTTTTCCTTTTCTTTTCCATTTTTTCTTGTTTCTTTCTCTTTTTTTTTTGTTTGTTTGTTTGGTTGGTTGGTTTTTTGTTTCTTTTTTTTTTCCCCTCTCTCCCCTCCAGAGAGGAAACCCCTTTCTCCCGCAGCAGAAATCTCGGGAATCTGAGTCCCTGGGGGCGCAGTGTCCTTGGTGACCACTGTCCATCCGTCTGGACACGAGCTCTGCCCCGGGGCGCGGGGTTTGCGCTGGGCAAGGATCGGGATGGGGATGGGGATGGGGATGGGGATGGGGATGGGGATCGGGGCCGGGATCGGGATCGGGATCGGGATCGGGATCGGGATCGGGATCGCCGGTGCTGCTCTGCCGTCCTGTCAGGGCGGAGCGAGGCAGGAGGGGGACGATCTCTGCCGTGAGATGACAAATTAAACACCGCACCTCCCCCTCCCTGGACTCGGGAATCGCAGCCGCCTCTCCTGGCGCATCCCGGGAAGCGGCCCCGGAGCGCTCCCAGAGGAGCCCTTCACCCGAACTTGATTTTGACACTAAAATGTGGAGCAGAGCCCATTTGCCGGGCTATGAATATGTATTATTTTTTTTAATAGCGTCTGTAGACAACTAAGGCATGAATGAAGGCAATCAGGGAACATGATGAAGTGATAACTTAATAAAAACCAGACTATTGCTTTCATGCTGGAAGTCACTTGGCATGCCATTAGGTTATTGTTGGAGGGGTTCACTGCCCGTGTTCCCCCCCAGCCCGAGGGATCCCCTCGGCCCCGCTGGAGCTGCCCGCTCCGGCCCGGAGGAATCCGAGGCATCCGAGACACCAGGACCGGCTCAAAGCGCTTCCAGCCGAGTCAGAGCTGTCTGCCTCCCATCTGTGCTCCGGAGCCTCTGACACGTCCCAGTTCACACTGGGATCTCCAGGGATCCCCCGGGGTCACCCCAAACCCCTCCGGAGCCCCGAGCTCGGCACCTGCAGCGGGGAGGAGCTCAGGGAGCTCTGCCCGGATCAAAGGGGAGATGTGAGGGGACAGGCACGGCGAGAACACCTTCAGCATTCAGGTTTGGCCCTTTCGCCTCGTTTCTTTATTTTTTTTTTCCCTCTCCATTCATTTCCCTCTGGTTGTATCTCCATCAGGTCCAGATGGATTTTGTTGTTTGGACTTCCAGGTGAAGCTCAGCCCGTGGGTTTTGGTGCAGCTCCACCTGCCCAATTAACACATTTGATACCCGAAATCTCCGAGAAGGAAGCTCGAGTTCACTGAGCGGGGCAGCCGCTGTCATTCCCTCGGGGTTCTCCTCTTTTCCAGCGCCGGGTTTGTTTTTGTTAACACTTGCTCCGTGGAAGTGCTGGAGACACACGCGCTTTGCCAAAATCTCAGCATGTCTTCCCATTCAATCAGAGGCTGGAAAAGCTTCTCATCTTCACAGGAGTCACCCAGAGGGAAGTCTCAGAAATACCAGAGCTGATGGTTGTGATATCTGCAGGATTAAAAACATGCAGGAAATTGGCCATCTCCTGTTCTCATTCAGCAGGAAAAAAAACCCCAAACCTCTTTATTTATAAACTTTTGACACTCGAGAGCCCGCTGTCAGCGAGAACACAATAATTAAAGTGCGATTTAAAACGCAGGCCAAATTCTGGGTCCTGTGTGTGTCAGGCTCAGCCCAACCTCCCAGGCTCAGCCGATCACTGGGAGTGGCCTCACAGCCCGGGATGGTCGGGAATGATTTGGGATTGCTCAGCCTGGACAGGAGAAGCTCTGGAGTTGATGCCTTGGGTTTCAGCTTTTATATTTTTCACAATCTCTGCTGCTTAGTGTGTCACTCTGAAACTTCATGTGAGGTGTCAGTAAATTCTCTTCACAGGGCAGTGACAAAACAATTCCTTCCCAGCTGGAGAGTCAAGGACAACTGGCACCCAAAAATCATAAAAAACAGCGAGGGAAAAGGGGCAAGGCAGGGGCTGAGATTTCATAGCCTGGGGCTGTGGTTGGATAATTGACCCCAAGATGAACCAAAACTTATATAAGTGTAAAACTCGTGACCAGAATCCATCTGGGATTTGATTTGGGTGTAGCCCTGGCCAGGCTCTTGTACTGCCCAAGGTGAATCCTTTCAATAAATTCCTATTTTCTTCCTTTCAATCAATTCCTATTTTCTTCCTTTCAGCAAATTCCTATTCTATCCCTTTTGCTCTGTCTGGTCTCTGTTCCAGCTCAGCCTTTCCAGGCGTCCCATTGTGGCCTTTCAGGGCCTGAAGGAGCTGCAGGAACCATGGAGAGAGACAATTCCCTGGAGGGACAGCACCCAGGGAATGGAAGGAATGGTTTCCACTGCCAGAGGGCAGGTCTGGATGGGATTTTGGGCAGGAATTGTTCCCTGGCAGGGTGGGCAGGCCCTGGCACAGTGGGAGCCATTCCCTGTGTGCTGTCCCTCCATCCTTGTCCCCAGTCCCTCTCCA